GGGAGGCTGAGGCAGGAGAATTGCTTGAACCCAGGAGGCGGAGGTGGCAGTGAGCCAAGGTGGAGCCACTGCACTCCAGCCTGGCACCTGGTGACGGAGTGAGACTCTGTCTCAAAAAAAATAAATAAATAAAAAAGAGGTTTAATGGGCTCACAGTTCTGCAGGGCTAGGGAGGCCTGAGAAAACTTACAGTCATGGCAGCAGTGGAAGCAAAGTCATCCTTCTGCACATGGCAGCAGGAGAGAGAGATGAGAGTTGAATGAAGAAAGAAGACTTTTATAAAACTATCAGATCTTGTGAGAACTCAGTCTCTATCACGAAAATAGCATAGGGGAAACCTCCCCTATGATTTAATTACACCCCGTTGGGTCCCTCCCACAACACATGGAAGTTATGGTTACTATAATTCAAAATGAAATTTGGGTAGGGATACAGCCAAACCCTCTCATTCTATCCTGGCCCCTCCCAAATCTCGTGTCCTCACATTTCAAAACACAGTCATGCCCTTCCAACAGTCCTCTAGAGTCTTACCTCACTCCAGCATTAACTCAAAAGTCCAAGTCCAAAGTCTCATCTGAGACAAGGCAAGTCTGTTTTGCCTATGAGCCTGTAAAATCAAATGCAAATCCATTATTTCCTAGATTCAATGGTGGCATAGGTATTGGGTAAATCACCCATTTTAAATGGGAGAAATCAGCCAAAACAAAGGACCTACAGGCTCCATGAAAGTCCAAAGTCTAGCAGGGTAGTTATTAAGCCTTAAAGTTCCAAAATGATCTTTGATTCCATGTCTCACATCCAGGTCACGCCGATGCAAGAAGTGGGCTAGCATGGCCTTGGGCAGCTGTGCTTCTGTTACTTTGAAGGATATATCCACACTCCTTTCTGCTTTCATGGGCTGGTGTTGAGCGTGGTTTTTCCAGGCCCATAGTACAAACTGTCAGTGTATTTACCATTCCAATGTAATCCTATACAGCTTACTATTGCCATTGCAACATCTAAAAACTGTTCCCCTTCATTAAGTCATATTTATGGTATCAAAGCTGACATTTCAGGAAAGGATTCCAAAGAAAGTTTGAAATATGCTTTGTTGCTCCTTCAACCTCTCTGTCAATCACTTCTAGACGCAATGACAGAATCAGAGTCTCTGTAGTGGAGGTAAAAAACCTAAGGCAAACCATAGCAATTGAGACAAGGTATCAGGATGTAAATACCAGCCTAAAATGGATTAGATATTCCGTCTGCATTCTAAATAAAAGTGACTATTACACTTGTGTGCACAGTAGGCCAGAGGCCCAGATTGTCCCCTTTTCACTTAGATGGTCTAATCAAGTGGATATGGAGTGCATGATAGCTCTTTTTCAAAATTCCACAACGAATTTTGCCGAGTTCTTTCATTGCTATTCCCTGAAGTTCAACACCCTGTGGGTCAGCCCCCAAAGGCCAAACAGCCTCCATCTCACAAGGTAAAGTTTGCTTTGTGCCTCTCATGATGGGGAGAACTTGGTGTTCCTTGAAAAACTTAACAAGATGCAGTGAAGTCAGGCACTTCCAAGAGCTGGCTCATCAGTCTGCCCTAGCCCAGTGAGTGTTGTTCCCTTCCCTGTGCCCAAGTGTTCTCATTGTTCATCACCCGCCTATGAGTGAAAACATGCGGTGTTTGGTTTTCTGTTCTTGTGTCAGTTTGCTGAGAATGATGGTTTCTAGATTCATCCATGTCTCTACAAAGGACACGAACTGGTCATTTTTTTATGGCTGCATAGTATAGCATGCTGTATATGTGCCACATTTTCTTTGTCCAGTCTATCATTGACAGGCATTTGGGTTGATTCCACATCTTTGCTATTGTAAACAGTGCCACAATGAACATACGTGTGCATGTGTCTTTATAACAGAACAATTTATAATCCTTTGGGTATATACCCTGTAATGAGATTGCTGGGTCAAATGGAATTTCTATTTCTAGGTCCTTGAGGAAGTGCCACACTGTCTTCCACAATGGTTGAACTAATTTACACTACCACCAACAGTGTATAAGTGTTCCTATTTCTCCACATCCTCTTCAGCATCTGTTGTCTCCAGATTTTTAAATGATCGCCATTCTAACTGGCGTGAGAAGGAATCTCAATGTGGTTTTGATTTGCAGTTCTCTAATGACCAGTGATGATGAGCATTTTTTCATGTGTGTTGGCCTCATATATATCTCCTTTTGAAAAGTGTCTGTTCATATCCTTTGCCCGCTTTTGGATGGGCTTGTTTTTCTCTTGTAAATCTGTTTTAATTCTTTGCAGATTCTGGATATTAGCCCTTTGTCAGATGGGTAGGTTGCAAAGAATTCTTCCCATTCTGTTGGTTGCCGGTTCACTCTAATGATTGTTTCTTTTGCTGTGCAGAAGCTCTTAAGTTTAATTAGATCTCATTTGTCTATTTTGTTGCCGTCACTTTTGGTGTTTTAGTCCTGAAGTTCTTGCCTGTGCCTATGTCCTGAATGGTGTTGCCTAGGTTTTCTTCAAGGGTTTTTTTATGGTGTTAGTTCTTATGTTTAAAGCTTTAATCCATCTGGAGTTAATTTTTGTGTTAAGGTATAAGGAAGGGATCCAGTTTCAGCTTCCTGCATATGGCTAGCCAGCTTTCCCAACACCGTTTATGAAACGGAATCCTTTCCCCCATTGCTTGTTTTTGTCAGGCTTGTCAAAGATCTGATGGTTGTAGATGTGTGGCATTATTTCCAAGACCTCTGTTCTGTTCCATTGATCTATATCTCTGTTTTGGTACCAGTACCATGCTATTTTGATTACTATAGCCTTGTAGTATAGTTTGAAGTCAGGTAGCATGATGCCTCCAGCTTTGCTCTTTTTGCTTAGGGTTGTCTTGGCTATGCGGGCTCTCTTTTGATTCCATGTGAAGTTTAAAGTGGTTTTTTCCAGTTCTGTGAAGAAGGTCAATGGTAGCTTGATGGGGATAGCATTGAATCTATAAATTACTCTGGGCAGTATGGCCATTTTCACAATATTGATTCTTCCTAACCATGAGCGTGAAATGTTTTTCCATCTGTTTGTGTCCTTTCTTATTTTTAAGCTATTTGAGAAATCTCAAAACTGCTTCCACAATGGTTGAACTAATTTACATCCCCACCACCACCCTATAAGTCTTCTTTTTTCTCCTCAGCTTTGCCAGCATCTGTTGTTTTTTGGCCTTTTAGTAATCATCATTCTAGTTGGTGTGAGATAGTATCTCATTGCTGTTTTAATTTGCATTTCTCTGATGATTAGTGATGATGAGCAGTTTTTCATGTTTGTTGGCTACTCATGCCTTCTTTTGAGAAATGACTATTCATGTCCTTTGCCCATTTTCTTAATGGAGTTATTTGTTTTTTGCTTGTTATTTTAAGTTCCTTATAGATCCTGGGTGTTAGACCTTTGTCAGATGCATAGTGAAGGAATATTTTCTGCCGTTCTGTAGATTCTCTGTTTACTCTGTTGATAGTTTATTTTGCTGCATAGAACTTCTTTAGTTTAATTAGGTCCTACTTGTCATTTTATGTTTTTTTGCAATTGCTTTTGGGGACTTAACCAAAAATGTTTTTCAAGGTGGATGTTGAGGGGGATATTTATTGGGTTTTATTCTAGGATTTTTGTAGCTTGAGGCCTTACATTTCAATCTTTAAGTCATCTTGAGTTAATTTATATATGGTGAAAGGTAAGCGTCTAGTTTCATTGTTCTGCATATGGCTAGCCAGTTACTAAATTTACTGAATAGGGAGTTCACTTATTGAATAGAGTTGTTTCCCTCTTGCTCATTTTTGTCCACCTTGTCAAAGATCAGATGGTTACAAGTGTTCAGCTTTATTTCTGAATTTTCCATTCTCCTCCATTGGTCTATGTGTCTGTTTTTGTGCCAGTATCATGCAGTTTTGATTACTATGGCCTCATAGTATCGTTTGATGTTGGATAATATCATGCCTCCAGTTTTGTTCTTTTTGCTTAGGATCGCTTTGGCTATTTGGGTTCTTTATGGGTCCATAAGAATTTAAAAATAGTCATTTTCTAATTCTTTGAAAAATGACATTGGTAGTTTAATAGAAATAGCATTAACTTTGTAAATTGCTTTGGACAGTATAGTCATTTTAACAATATTGATTCTTCCAAATAAACTATTTCTACAATAATTCTATAATAATCAGAAAAGATGCTTGTTATAATTTACTTTTCTGGAATTTGTTAAGACTTGTTTTGTGACCCAGCATGTGACATATTCTGGACAATGCTCCATGTGGACTTGAGGCAAATTTGTATTTTGATGCTGTTGTGTGGAATGTTCTGTTTATATCTGTTAGGTCCATTGGTGTATGAATTGTTGATGTCTGCTATTTTCTTATTGAATAACTGCCTGGATAATCTCTTCATTATTGTGAGTACTGAAGTTTCCTACTATTACATTGCTCTATGTTTCTCCCCTCAGATCTGTTCATGTATGTTTTATGCTTTTAGTGCTCTAATTTTGAATACATGTGTATCAACAAATCAGATAAATGGCATATGATGGATATGATAATCCACACCAACTAAGGAGGGGAATGTGTCTTGCATATATTGGTATCTTTATGCAAATCACCAATGTTGTCCCCTTCAGAGAAACCAATTACCCAAATGGGCCCCTTCTGGAGGACATAATTGCATAAAGGAATCCTTTCCTCTAGGTCTACTACTTCCCTAGGCCACCGTGTTTGCTCATTTAAGCATGGGCTACATAAATTTAGGCATAGCCTTTATTGGGGTCTTATCCTCTGGAAATAGACTCCAGTGTTGATAAGGCCCTGTGTGTCTCTCCCCATCTCCTTAATGTGCTCACAGTGCACAAAGCATTCAGCCTCAAGCAGCTCACTGCTGACCTTAAGAGAACAGATACAACACTTTGGGAAAATAATGTCCTTCAAAGAAAGATATTGTATTTTTTACCTTATGAATGTCATAAGTGCAAAATGTAATATCTAAAAAAAGTGGAAGCCTATAAGATGAAAATTTTAATCCAGAAAGCAACCTCATCTATAACTTAGATATAAATGCTGTTAATATGCTAGAATATATCTACTAAATCCGTTATTTACAATGTGTTACTGAACATTTACACAATCACAGTTATTAACAATTGTTTTAAGCAGAAGTTGTTTGTTGCATTGCAGCTTGCAGATTTCAATTAATATTCATTGGTCCTTCTTGTTTTTCTTGGTCTTGATGACCTTTGAAGAGAGATAAGAAAGATATAGTGAGACCCTAGATATTGAAATGAAGCTCTGTTTATAGTTCTCCTTTCACCTTCCATATCTTTTCTTCCCATTGGCTACATTCTCCTCCCCTATGAAAGCTCATTAGTCACAAAGTTATGAAGATCTACCTTCAAAAAAACTCATTTTCCTTCCATTAGCTAATCCCTATTTGTCTTTTTCCTTCCTAAACAGATTTTTGAAATAAACTTCTGTGGTGTCCTGATTAACCAACTGCCCAATTTTAAAAAAGCTTCGATTTGTAACATTTGCAGTCTGGTGGTATACATATTTTCACATGGATGATTTCGAAGGACCACATGTTTAATTCCTGAATCTCCAACAATAAGCTCTCTTTAGTAAGGATCTGAGGGAACTCCAGCACACTACTTCTAATAGATATCTCTGCCCCTTGCCTAATCTCTCTGTAATGCAACTCCATAGATCGTCACTGGAGTATTTTTTGCTAAAATGTCAAAGTGATCAGGCATTCTTCAGTGTAATTTTATTTCAGTTTGTTATGTATTTTCAACAATGAAGTTCCCATTAATTTACTTTTGAAAAAGCCACACTTCTGCTTCTTTTTTGTCTATGGGCCTTGGCAGTCCCTACCTCCCCGGCCTTTTTAAAAATATTTTGGTCCCACCGTCTTCTGCATCTACTGAATTTCATTTATACAGAACTCATTATGCAGTGTCACACTTTTGGAATTTTCATGTGTCATTTCCTTTGCTTAAAAGTTATCCCAATGTCTTTACTGTCCTAAAAAAATACTATCGACCATAGATCAGTTTATGTTGATGTGCCAGACTGTGACACAATTAATATGTATGTATTGCCTCAATGTTTAAAACATCCTGAATTGGAGACTTCCATTATTTTAGAGGACCAATGAAACTATTTCCCCAATATCAGCCAACTAGTGCTTGTTAAAATCCAAGATTCAAATCACATCTGTCTTATTCAAAGCCCTTGCTCTTGAGCCCGATGTTCCCTGCACCTACACACATCTTTAAATCAATTAACACAGTATTATATCCTTTCTATAACCATATGAATGCCTTTACCTTAATATCTTTTTAAAAATCCTCCACTTACAAATGAGTGCATGGGCATTGTTTAGGTTCTCCTTCCACCCGCTGGACTGTTTAAGTAGTACATCTGGGGTTTTCCAAAGCCTAAACAAAATGATTTGCCCTTTTAGCAAACTCATTCTCCTCTATCCAGTTCCCACCTTGATGAAACTGTGAATTCCACACATCAGTTTCAGCTTGTAGTCAATTGTTCTCAGTTGAAAGCAGAAGAGTCGAAGCTTATCTCCTTCCTCACACTTGATATTGTGCCATTTTCCATTCCCCACTACATCCATGGTTCCTGTATTATCCTGTATTTCATAGATTGTGTTCTTCTTGTGTACTGTTTTCTGCAAAAGAAGATTAACATCCTGTTTCTGAGAGTATTGTTAGTATCATATACATGAAATAGAGCCTCATGACAAAGTTAATGCGATACGCATGACAGGAATGACAGGTACAGATCATATACGTGGCTTTGCCTGCCATCTCACAAGGCCTATTTTTTAGTATCTGATTTTTTTTTGCTTTTGCTGTTCCTGCTCAAGGTATTTTTCTTCCTGCAATTGTACAACAATAAATATTTTCTTCTTTTTCTCCTGCTACCACCTTCAGATCAGCTAAGAGTTAATGAAGCACCTAGATATAGAGGAATCAAAAATTCCTGTAGAACTTCTTGGCTCCTGGTCCTGTGGAAAAACAAATGTATGCTTTCCACAATTATTCATCCAGTTGATTATGAGGATTTTCACTTTATTATTATTTTGCTTTTAAAAAATTTCAATAGCTTTTGGGGTACAAATGGTTTTGGGTTACATAGATTAATTATGTAATGTCAAATTCTGAGATATTAGTGTACCCATCAACCAAATAGTATATATTGTACCCAATACAAAGTTTTGTATCCCTCACCACTCTCCCAGCTTCCCCCTTCTGAGTGTTGAAAGTTTGTTGTATCACTCTGTATGTTTTTATGTTTTTGTATACTTGTAGCTTAGCTCCCACTTATAAGTGAGCACATACAATATTTGGTTTTCCACTCCTGAGTTACTTCAGGTTTTGAGGAATTTTAAAGAAAAAACTTCTATAACACAATCATTTATTCTTTTTCAGCCTTCCTCATTACTTATTCTTTACCAATATCTTGTCGCCTTTGACCTAGCTCCGTCAATTTATAATGTCTCACACACTGAAGCTATTACTCATCAATTCTGTAATTGCATTTCTAAGCAAGAGCTCTTAAAAAGAGTGTGAGAAAATGTGGAGGTAAATTTAAGGGGCTCTTTTGAAAGACATGTATATAGGGTTATAAAGCAGTCAATCATATAGAATGTGAGTTGAATTCACAGGAATGTGTGATGTTTTAGAGTGGAGAAAGGGATGGAATGCATTATCCTACCTAGCATCTTGAATTTGGACATGAACATATCAATAAAATTCTGTGCCTTTTAATTAACCTTTTTTTTGGTAAATAATAGGATGAAATTGCCTTATCCTTTAAGTATCAAGGGATTCAATATTTCTCAGTTGTTTAGTACTATCTTCATAAATAAGTGAATACATAAGATAGAAGAGCAACAGCATAAATGTTTAGATTATGTGGATAGCTGTTGAACATATTTGCATTTAAGAGCATACCAGCCGATCCACTTGTTATTCCAAATGTATGTCACCACCAGAATTCAACCTTGGTAGCACAATTCATTATTCAAAATAAGTTTATCAAAATTCAAAGTAAAATTATGAGCGCCCATTGGAACAGAGCTGAAAGAAATGATGTTATTAGCCTGAGCCTATTGATTTAGACCCTGTATTGTCCTAGCTCATTGTGGCTGACAAGAGATCATTATTGCCAATATTTCTTACTAACTCAAAGTCCTTACATTTATTTTGGTGTAAGAAAGTTAATAAGTCACTTAGTCCTATTGCCTATTTTGTGTGACAACTTCATCACTATCTCTAGTCAATATAAATTATTGTGTTCCAGTATTCAGACAGTAAGCAATGTCTGGCAAATTAAGACATTTAGTTCCAAGTAATGGTAGAGAAAATTAAAACAAAATTAAGGGATTACCTTTTTTAACATAAACAACCCATACACTATTGTTCCAGATGCTTGCTTATAAAGGTGATTGATCTTGGGAGTTTTATTTGCTTCTTTGATAATTCTGTTTGGGACCTCAAAATTTTGATCAATTTCAGACACAGATGATGCTTCATTTATTTCCATTATTCCTTTACATTCAAAATAATCAGATATGGTAATGACCTTCTTCTTCATGAATTTCTCTTTCAAGTCGGTATTGAAGACTTTCACTTGAAAAAATTGAGTCTTACTTGCCACTGTAGCATGAAACATTGTGCTTTTCCCTTTTTCTGGGGACTCATATTTAAATGGCTCTGTTGCTTTCAGTACCATCACTGTCAATGGGCCCTTCTGGAGGACATTTCTTCTTGCATCCACCTGACATAGGGCCTGGGTTTTCTGATTCTGTGTTGGGTGGACACAAGAAAATAAACTTAAAACTTTGAGCAGGAATACAAAGTCACTCTACACTCATGTGAGTGTAAAGTCACTCTACTTGAGTGACTCTGCAGAGCTTTTGACCCAAAAACTTTCACAGATATTTGGAGCTGGGGGCTAGGCTAGACGGGAATTGCTGGACAGAAAGGAAAGGCACATGAGCTGCTGTAGTTTGGCTCATGAAAGTTTAAGGTAGCAGAAAACAGGCTTGGAAATGAGATCACCCTCATTGACTCAGAATAATCTTCCTGAAGCAAGGCATGATCTTCTGCATGAACAACCTAGAGCAGTAGATGATGAAAGCATTGTTGTGAAGAAACTTTAAAGAAAGATTCGAATATAATAACAAATCCAAATATCTCCTCTACTTACTTAAATTACCAAAGACAATCCAAAAAGTGAAAACAACTTGGATAGCGTTAAAAATGAAGGACCATACCCACCACTAGTCTCAAACATTTAGAAATTCTAATTATCACTACTGTATTCTGCCATTTTGACCGCCCAATTCCTTTGTTTCTTCCCAAGAAATAGTGCTGCTACAAGTGGAAAGACTTGGCTTGGCCTGGCTCAGCATATAAGTAGTCTCAGGCAGAGGATTTCTGGAAGCTATGATCTCAAGTATGTAGACAGCATTTCACAGTGGCTAGAATGCTAACAACAACAAAAGGAGAAGTTTGTTTATCTCTAATATCCTCTCCCCACAGTGGCCTGGTCTATTTGAGTTGTAGCAGAACACTTCTGAAGAGAACATTGCCCAATCTGTAGTAGGAAGTGTGGGAAGCAAAGACGAGCCATGGGCTTGTATGTACTAGTACTAGGAGCCAAACTGTGTACCTGTATAGACCAGAAATGCTTAGTGGTCTTTCCTGGTGTTTTATACACAGTGATCACCTGTGGGTAATTGGACCTTACTTAGATGTGGCTTCTCACCAATGTGAACAAGTTACCATAACGTAGAAAATAGTTTTCCCACAGGAAATCAGTAACAGAAAGAGTTATGCGTGAGAGTAACAATAGTAAAAGTGGAATGCAGTTACTGGGCTAAAAAGTATTGGAGAAGAGGACCAGGGAGAGTGTGTACCTGAGTAAATGAAGTGTTGGATGGAGCTGATGACGGGGTCTGGGGTGCTGGGGGATGGCCCATAGCTTCAGATGTGCTGGCTCCTGAGGGATGTGAGGGCTGACTCTGCTCCTGGGTCACCTTGTTCCTTTTGACTCCAGTCTTTTCTTTGATAGGAGTTTTTCTTTTCTGAAAGCAGTTTAATTTTCCTGTTAATGGGATTTAGTATCAAAAGAAGCAGAGCAAATTTTCATTAAATCATAGTAAGTTCTATTTATATTGGATGGGATGTCCTTGGAAAATCTAGGGAATTGCAGCCTCTCACTTGAATACGTGGAGGATAGGTAATATTGGGCGTAGATTGTCGCACTACAAAGGAGATGGGTGATTTCAGCAAGTGCATCACTCTTACCACCACCAAGGCGTGACGAGAAGAGCACCACACTTGGAATGAGAAAATCTAGATTTGTATAAGCATGGGCAAGATACGTATCACACATGATTATGATCCCATTTTTATTATGGAGATGTAATATACTTATGTCACAGAAATTTTTTTATTAAATTTTTATGACGCCTAGCTCTTTACCTATTACAAAGATGATCCAGAATTACTCATTTGGTAAATCTAAGCTGGGTTGAGATATTAATGAAGAGCCACATGCCTTTCAGAGAGTCTTCTGTGGGACTTTGATCCTGCTCCTCTTTCTCAGGCTTACCTGAGCTACAGGAATCTTCTCTCCTCTCTCAGATGTGAGCGTGTTTCTTGCGGTGGGTGCAGGTTCTGCAGTACCCACTTTTTCCTGGTTTCCTTTTTTCATTCGAGTTATTTCTTTTGCTTTCATTTTCTTAGCAACTGACAAAAGAAAAGGAACACAATAAGCCTAGACTGACCTAGACTGAAATAGCTTATCCAAGACAGCTGAAGCAGTTTCAATACTGCCTGCTGTCAGCTCCTGCATGAGAAGTCAGGTGTGCCTGTTACCTCTACTGCATTACCCCAGCCTGGCTGCTAGGAGGCCAACAGGAGCACGCAGGCACAGGAGCTGTCTCATTCTCCTCAGTGCTTTCCTCACTCTTCCCCTGTGCAGTGAGAACATGCTTCCTGTCCTGTCAACTCCATGTGCCCCGTCAACCCTTTCTCAGCCTCGTTCTCCTACCATTTCTTTTAAATATCTAAGGCTTTCATGATGCTGACAGGGTGGTCATGTGCTGTTCATGACAGATCTGTTCAAATGACAGAAATATGACCTGAAAGGAGACATGATCTGAATGGTAATGTTGCAAAGTGCTAATATTGGCTTTTGAATTAAAAAAAAAATGCCAGTGATTTATTAAGTGGAAAAAATCTACACATCTCTTAATAGAACTATTTGCTGTGTCAATTGGTTAAATACAAATATTTCAAATAAACTACATTTTAAAAAGTAATTGTTTACATTTTCTGACATTTCTAATTTACTGAAAACCTCAGCTTCTCATAAATCCCTGTCTTTGGTTTTTTATCCCTACCCCAAACACAGTTTTCTAAATATATCAGTCTCTTTTATATGAAACAGAATGCTCTAAATTGCCAACTGGTCGGTCTCTGAGGTGCCAACATTGCCATGACTGCTGAGTTATAACTTGGGAAAAGGATGTGCCAGCTATGACCAAGGTGGGTTTCTACTCAAGACTGGGGAGACTCAGGGCAGAGTAGCCATATGCAAGGCTTTTCCTATTACCTTTTGACTTCTCTTTTCGAAGCTCGTTAACAAGGTTTTTAAGTGACGGCATATCTCTAGCCAGTTCAATTAGTTTGTCTACACAGGCAACACCTGGGAACTTTTTTACCATCAAATCTAAAATCTCAATTCTGTTGTATTCCTCTTGCATTTTTGAAGTTAGTCCTAAATCACAGGCCAGTAAGGACTTAATTGTTGTAAAATGATAATGATCCATGTTCTCGAATCCTTTCAGCAAAACTATTTTCTTGTATTCATTCACCATTTCTGAAGTCATAGCTTGGCCTGTAAAGTAAAAAGGACACACAACATTACACATCTATGCAGACAATTTTAAAAACTGAGACTTTTTTTTAAACTGAGAATTTTAAAAACTGCTTTTGTGAGTGAGTGGCCAGGTCAAAACGTTGTCCTTGGATGTGTATGAGAAAAAGGAACTAAGTTACTAGATGTGTCACTGTGAACAATGGATCAAGACTTGCTTTATTAGGAAATTGTGAAGTTCTTCCCTTTTAATGTTGATTGCTGAGTTGGGTCAGAGGTGAATGTGGTGAAATGATGTTTGGAAACAGGTAATTGTTGTGGTGTTTACAGTATGGGTTCTGTGGTGTCAAAGTCCCTGGTTCCTCTTCTGATAATTTACTGGGGCCGGAGCTGACCCCTCAATGCCTGCCTCTTGGTTCCTGACTCTTCCCACACTCACTATCATCGAAATGGCCTAAGTATAAATGGGCTGCACCTGCTTACCTTATATGAATAACCTTCTGCCACAGCACTACAGTTCTGAGTTGTGGAACAAACTGTAGTCCCTCTTGGCTCTTCTCTAATCAGCTCTCATTAGCATTTTGTCTCCCTGGGACTTAGGACTTGTTCTCTGTGTCCTATGCATTTCTAAAATTGTCATTTTGCTGTACTCCTATCTGCTTTATAGTATGGAATTGCAGCATTTATTTTTTTGCCCATTTTTTATAGTGATTATTTATCTCCAGCTAGTCTTACTTTTACTAAAAGATTTTTATCAGACAACCAAGTAGGTTTCTTTATGGATAGAGGAATACAGTAGAACATCTAAGGTCATGAAAATAGGTAGGTGTGGCTCTTACTAAAATTGTGGCATAAAAGCAGTGTGTATATGAGAGAATTATTTAAAAAATGCATACACATATGCCCAGGCAAGGCACATGTCCATACAGGCCTCAGAGAATGTTTAGATTTCACACTTAGCTGCAGAGTGAAAGTCCTCCCCTGAATGGTGCCAGTTAAGAACAGTTGAGAGGGAGCTGTTTTTGCAAATGTCCAGTTTTCAACCAAAGGTATTCAAAGAAACAGGTAAACGTGGTCAATTTAAAAGAAAAAAATGAACCTCCAAAAACTTTCTCTAAAGGAACACAGCCCTCGGACTTTTTGTCAAAGACTAAAACAACATTCTTAAATATAATCAATGAGTTAAAGGAAAATATGTACAGACAACTAAACAAAATCAGGAAATGATTTATAAACAAAATGAGATTATAGCAGAAAGACAGAAATTACCAGAAAAACATCCCATAAATCCTGAAGCTGAAAAATAAATTGACTGCATTGTAAAATTCACTAGGGGAGTTTTTCAGCACATGCCAATAGGCAGAAAAATCAGTGACGTTGAAGACAGGTCATGTGTATGTATCAAGGCTGAGAAACAAAATTTTTAAAAACATATGAAGGAAAATGAACAGAACCTAAATGACTTATAGTACATCATCAAGTGGGACAATAGATGCATTATGTAAGTCTGAAAAGGTGATGAAAAATAGAAAGGAATAACAAAATTATTTGAGTAAATAAGGACTGAAAACTTTCCAAATTTGAGAAAGGACAAAATGTACAGATACAAGAAACCAAATAAGCTGCAACCATGATAAACTCAAAAAAACTTACACTATGACGCATTATTATCAAATTACCAAAAGTCGAAGACAAAAAGAAAATCATTTAAAAAGTAGCAAGAAGAAGGCAACTCGTTATATACAAGAAATCTTCAATAAGATTATAAGCACATTTGTCAGCAAATTCTTTGTAGACCAGAAGGTACTGGGGCAATACATTTTAAGTGTTTAAAGGAAAGTCTGTCTATCAAAAATACTATATCTGGGAAACCTGCCATTCATAAATGAGAAAAATTAAGACATTCCCAGATAAATATAAGCTTAAGGATTTCATTACCACTATATCTGCCCTAAAATAAATACTAAAGGGATTTCTTCAAGCTGAAACACAAGGATGCTAGACAGTAACTAAAACTCATATAAAAATAAAAGTTCTCCATGAAAGGTAAATATATACATAAATATAAAAACCTGACTTTTGCTATTTTGATTTGTAATCACTTTTTATTATTTTATAGGATTTAAAACATGAAAGCAAAACAATTTATAAATCAATGTTAATTGGTACATAATATATAAATGCAATTTGTGACATTAATAACCTAAAATATGTGTTGGGGAGCTGTAAAGGAGTAAATATTTGGCATATGATTGAAACTAAGTTGTTGTCAGTTAAAAATAGATTGCTATAACTTTAGAATGCCATATGCGGCCTGATGATAACCACAAAGATATCTGTAGTATATACACAAATGGAATGGAAGAAAATAAAAAGGTTTTACTACAGAAAATATCAACACAAAGAAGGCATTAAGAGAGGCGTGAGAGACAAAAACCTATTAAAACATACAGAAGACAAATAGAAAAGGCAACAGTAAGTTCTCAGTTCTTCCTTATCAATAATTAGTTCAAATATAAGTGGTTTAAACTTACTAATCAAAAAGCATATATTAAAATTATATATGTGTATGTATGTGTGTGTGTGTGTGTGTATGTGTGTGTGTGTGTATATATATATATATATATATGACACAATTAATTTAAAAACAGGGGATCCAACTATATGTTGCATACAAGAGGCTAATTTTAGAGATCTAAGGACAAAGATGGAAAGAATAAAAAATATATTCCATTGAAATATTAAACGAAAGAGAGAAGAGTTTGCTATAGTATCAGATAAAATAAAAACAGTCAAAAACTGCTATAAGAGACAAAGAACATTACATAGTGATAAAAGGGCCAATTTATCTAGAAGATATAACAATAAAAAACATTCATGCACAAAACATCAGAGTTCCTAATATATGAAACAAACATTTACAGAATTGAAGGGAGAAATAGACAACTCTAAAGTAATAGTAAGAGACTTTAATCTTCCGCTTTCAATAATGGATAAAACAACCTGACAGAGATAAATAAGAAAAAAGAAATATTGACAAACATTATAGACTACTTATAGACCAATTATATCTAACGCATATATCCAAAACAATAAAGTCAACAACAGTAGAATACATGTTTTTCACATGAACATATGGAACATTATCCCAAAATATACCACAAATTAGAACATCAGACAAGTTTTAATAAATGTTAAATGTTTGAAATCATAGTGTATTTTTCATCACAGTGGAATAAAACTAGAAATCAACAGAAAGAAAACTAGAAAATTCATGAACATGTGAAAATAAACAACACACTCAATGAAATACATACAAAGAATCACAAGTCAAATTTGAAGCCTTATTTAGAGAAATTACATGAAAACACAATATATCATTTCATTAAATGCAGAGAAAATGGTGGTGAGGATAATTTATAGATTTAAACAACTACATTTACAAAGAAGAAGAATCTCAAATCAACAATCTGACTTTACATCATACGGAACTTGGAAAAAGTAACAAACTAAACCCAAAGCCATCAAAAAGAAGGAAAAAAGAAAAATTAAAGATAAAATCGAAATTAGAAAAATAATAAAGAATTAATAAAAACAAGAGTTGGTTCTCAGAAAATATAAATACTGTCAGAACTTTAACTGAATTGACATAGATGAAAAAGGAGGCTCAAATAATAAAATCGGAAACTAAAAAGGGAACATGACAACAGATTTCACAGAAATAAAAAGAATTATAAAAGAATACTTTGAACAATTATATATAAATAAGTGATATAACCTAAATAAAACAGATAAATGGATAAATTCTTAGAAACGTACAACCCACACATTTTGAATCATAAAGAAACAGAAAATCTGAACAGTCATATGACTAGTAAGGAGAGTGAATCAGAAATCAAAAACCTCTCAATAAAGAAAAGTCCAGACTAAATGGTTTTACTGGTAAATTCTACCAAACATTTAAAGAAGAATTAAGACCAAAATTCCTCAAAGTCTTCAAAAAATTGAAAAGAAGTCAAATGGTATTTCTATTTCTAGATCCTTGAGGAATCGTCACACTATCATAGACAATGGTTGAACTAATTTACAATCTCTCCAATAGTGTAAAAGCACTTCTATTTCTTCACATCCTCTCCAGCATCTGTCTCCCGATTTTTTAATGATCGCCATTTTAACTGGCATGAGATGGTATCTCAGTGTGGTTTTGATTTGCATTTCTCTAATGACCAGTGATGATGAGCAGTTTTTCATATGTTTGTTGGCCGCATAAATGTCTTCTTTGAAAAGTGTCTCTTCCCCAAAGGACTATAATTCATTCTACTATAAAGACACATGCACACGTATGTTCATCATGGCACTGTTTACAATAGCAAAGACCTGGAACCAACCCAAATGCCCATCAGTGATAGACTGGATAAAGAAAATGTGGCACCATGCCATACTATGCAGCCATAAAAATAATGAGTTCATGTCCCTTGCAGGGACATGGATGAATCTGGAAACCATTATTCTCAGCAAATGGACACAACAGAAAACCAAACATCACATGTTCTCACTCATAGGTGGGTGTTGAACAATGAGATCGCATGGACACAGGGAGAGGAACATCACACACTGGGTCTGTTGGGGGATGGGGAGCTAGGGAAGGGATAGCAGGGGATGAGGAAATTGGGGAGGGATAACATTGGGAGAAATACCTAATGTACGTAATGGGGGGGATGGAGGCAGCAAGCCACCATGGCATGTGTATACCTAAGTAACAACACTACAAGATCTCCCCATGTACCCCAGAACTTAAAGTATAATTAAAAAAATTGAAAACAAGGGAACACTTCCAAACTCATTGTATGACCCAGCATTACTCTAATAAAAAACCAGACAGAGGCACTAGAAAAATAAAATTTACTAAACCATATCCCTTATGCATATCGATGCATTTTTTTTCAAAATATTAGCAAACATAATTACATAGCACATTACATTTATTTAGACATCATTGCCATTTACAGTTTATTCCTGGTTTGCAATGATGATTTACCATACAACAATCAATTAGAACTCTTAATGGTAAAAGACTGAAAACATTTCTTTTGTCTTTTTGAGACAGAATCGATGGCCAGGCTGGAGTGCAGTGGCGTGATCTTGGCTCACCACAACCTCTGCCTCCCATGTTCAAGCAATTCTCCTGCCTCAGCCTTCAAAGTAGCTGGGATTACAGGCGTGTGCCACCACGCCTGGCTAATTTTGTGTTTTTAGTAGAGACAGGGTTTCACCATTTGGCCAGGCTGGTCTTGAACTCCTGACCTCAGGTGATCCACCAGCCTTGGCTTCCCAAAGTGCTAGGATTTGGTAAGGCGTTAGCCACTGCACCTGGCCACATTTCTCTTATTCCTGAAAGATGAGGAAAAATACAAGGATGCTCATTTGTTCACTTCTAAAAATCAATTAAGATAATATACCACATTATCAAAATGAAAGATGAAAAAACACATGATAATTTCAATTGATGCAAATAATAAAGCATTTGACAAAAGTAAATAACCTTTTATATTAGAAACACTCAATAAACTAAGAATAGGAGAAAATCACTTCAACATAGTAAAGTCTATATACAAAAACACCATAGCTAACAATATTCCCAATGGTAAGAGACTGAAAACACTTCTCTTGCTCCTGAAAGATCAGGAAAAAGACAAGGATGCTTTTCTTTCCCACTTCTGTTTGAGATAGTACTGAAAGTTTAAACCAAACAAACACACAAAAAGGCAAGAAACAGAAAATATAATATATTTAAATAAGAAAGAGAAAAGGTAAATTATCTGTCTTTACAATTTGGTGATATAATCTTATATGTGAAAAGTCCCAAAGATTCTATGTAAATACTAAGAACTGATAAACAAATCCAGCAAAGTTCCAGAAATCAAAAGCAACACACACAAATCAGTTGTGTTTCTATACACTACAATGAACAAAAAGGAAATTAAGGAAACATTTTTTCCCATATATAATAGCTTAAAGTAGTAAAATAGGAATAAACTTAATCAAGGAGGTAAATTATACAACATTGTGAAGGAGTTAAAGAGTCATAAATATACATGGGAAGGTATCTGTGTTCAGGTATTAGAAGACTTAATACTGTTAAGGTGTCAATACCCAAGGAACTGCATATGCAATACGATTTGCAATGCAATCTGTAATGCAAAATCCCAGAAGTGTTTTTTACACAAGCACAAAAATTTGTCTTAAAATTAATGTAGAATTTAAACAGACTCTAAATAGTCTTTTTTAATCTTTCAACAGAAGAACATGGAGGTTTCAGACTTCCTGCTTTGAAAACTTATAAAAACACAGTAATCAAAACAGTGTGGTACTGGCATCAAGACAGACATAAAGAACAATGGAATATGATTGATAGATAGCATAGAAATAAACCCTGAAAAATATGGTTAAGTGATTTTTGACATGGGTGTTATGTTCGTTTAATCAGTAAAGAACAATCTTCTCAAAAACGCTGTTAGGCAATTAGGATATCTATATATAAAATAATGAAGTTGGGCCTTTACCAACAAAATATACAAAACATAACTCAAAGTAGATCAAATGCATAAATGTAGGAACTAAAACTACGTAACTCTCAGAAGAAAACAAAGGAGAAAGGCTTCATGACATTGGATTTGGAAATGGATTTCTTGGATATGACACTGATAGCACAGGCAACAACACAACAATAAAAGAGCTAAATTAGACTACAACAAAATTAAAATTTTCTATACATCAAAGACACAATTAACAGAGTGAAAAAGAGAACCTAGAGAATGAAAGAAATATTCATAATTTATATATTTGATGAGTGCTTAACACCCAGAATATACAGCAAACTCCTTCAAATCAACCCCAACAACAACAGAATCCAAATAGTGTGATAAAAATTGATAAAGGACTTGCATATATATTTTTTCATAGGTGCTATACAAATGTCCAATAAGCACGTATAAGTATGCTCAACATCAATAATCTTTATGTAAATGCAAGTCAAAACCAAAAAACCACAATAAGATTTAACAATGAAAAACATACATGCACAAAACATCAGAGCTCCTAGGATGAAGTTTTTTGGTACTGCCAAAAAAATAACAGCAGAAAATAACCAGTGTTGGTGAGGATGAGTAGAAAAGGGAAACCTTGTGCCTCATTGGTAGAAATGTAACATGGTTCAGATGCTATGAAAATAAATGTGATTCTTACTCTTAAAATTAAAAATAAAATTACCATATGATTAAGTAATTTCACTTCTTGATATATTCCCCAAATAGATGAAAGTGGGATCTCAAATAAATGTATGTACATCTATGTTCATTGCAGCATTAATCACAACAGAAAAATGTGAAAGAAATACAAGTGTCTGCCAATGGATGAATGACTAAAAAGAAGTATGATTTATTAGATATTTCATGGTAAATAGATAAAATAGAATATTATTTTACCCTAAGAAGAAAGAATATTCTGACACTTGCTACAATACAACATGGATAAACTTTGCAAACATGAAATGAAAAAACCTAGTAACAAAAAGCACATAAATATTGTGTGATTAAACATATATGAAGTGTTAGAGTTTTCAAATTATTATAGAGACAGAAGGTAGCATGATGTTTGCCAGGGTCTGGAGGAAAGGGGAATGGTGAAATTGTTGGTTAACGGATTTTGAGTTTTAGTTTTGCAAGATGCAAAAGCCTTCTGGATGTTGGTTGCACAACAATATGAATGTATTTAATACTACTGAACTGTACACTTGAAAATGTTTAAGACGACACATTTTATATTACGTTTCTTAATGCAGTTAAGGAAAATAATTATTATATTCAAAGCTTTAGAACTTTGGCAGTGAAAATATCCATACCTACAGCTCTTTGTGAAGAACTACTTATTATGAAAAGAAATCTAAGAAATGTTGGAGGCCAAAAGGGAAGTAAGAGTAAAGAAATACATTAATTAGTGTTCTTACTATCTTAAAAATAAATAAAGCCAGAATCAAAGAGAAGAAAATAGGAAATATATGAACACACTCTTACAATTGGAGTTATATGTTTGGGGCACCAGAAGATATGAGAGTCTGATAAGGGGCTTGTCTTTAAGGAAAATATAGATTTTTTAAAAAATAAGAAACTTGGCAAGAAAGAAGAAGAAAGCACAGAATAAGTGCTATAAACTGAAACAAAGTAAGATGGCAGAGCCAATATATACCTTTATAGAATGTACATATCTGGACTAAACTCCTCAACTAAGAGGAAAAATTTTCAATTTGTATTAAAAATAAATCCAGTCATATGTTGTTGACAAAATACAAATAAACCATAAGGTCACTTAAGTTTGAGAAACAGCTAGAAAAAGTTGTATTTCAAACTCTAATGTAAAGAAAGACCTTTAAGGAAAAATAGTGAAGCTTAAAATAGGCTTTAGTCAATAAGTATCAGTGCATAGTTTCACTACGTAATGGGAGAGTATGCAACTTGTAAAAAGATATAATAAATAATGTAATATATATAATCTGTTATTACTTTATAAGGCAGCATATAGAACATTTTTCTTTCTCTTTAAACACACACATAACATATATACTTGGATATGCATATTCTATGTAAAAATGTATGGTAGAAATCAAAAGAACTACAATGAGAAATTAACAAAATCACTATTAAAGTTGGAGATTTCACCATCTCTCTCTCTCAGTTACTGAAATAACAAGGTAAAAAAATAGCTTAGATTTAGATTTTTCAAACATAATTAACAAGCTTAATTAAGAAACTTAGTATCTAACTTAAATAGGATTTGGAATCCAACATTATAAACTCTTCTCAAGCACGCATTAAATAATTAGAAAACATTCATCAGGTACTAAGCCATAAAAAAGTCAAAATGTATCCCCAAGTAGGTAATACATAATTGATTCTCCCTGTCTTTTCATTATACCTTGAAAAAAAAAAGTTATCTGTGACTGAGTAAAGCATAGACCATTTGAAAAAGAGAAATACTTCATCTTAAACTTGTTGTAAAATGAAGCATAAAATAAAACTGATTCAGGAAAAAGTAAAGATTATTTTTGAGTAAACGCTTATAATATTGAGAAATTATCTAATGTGTGTACATGTCCCTGCTCTCAAATTGAGATAAAATCATATAATAGATATTTATGTCCTGGTTTATTTTTTACTAACTATTACCTCATAATAATTTTCTCACAGGACTGTCTTGTCTTTTAACTTAGGCCCAAACCCAGTCACCAAGTTTCCTACTCATCCTCCAGCCAAGAAAACCAAGTATCTCTTCTAAAGATCAATTTATGTCAATAGACACCTGAGAATTAATTTTAAAATTTGCTGTGGACAAGATACATTTTTTTTTTTTTGGTTCATACTCCAGGTGTGGTAGAATAAAAGATACCTATTTTCCACCTAGACAGGTAAAGGATTCAGTTCTCAGTTTTCTGAATATGATTGATACAATTCTTTCATAAGTAATTCTCCACTGTAATGGTGTGGTTACCAACTGAGTACCCAGATCGTTCTCTAAAGAACTTCCCAGAAATCTCACCTTAATGGATATTTCTTCCAAAATAGTCTTCAGAAATTCTGGAGTCACTGTCTTGTTTAGGACCGAATCACTGTCTGTAAAGCTTTGGAAAGATTAAACTGCAGACTATTATAATCTTGTAAAGGGCTGAAAAAATGAAAGCTAACAAGGAAAAACAGCACTTGTTAGAGCCACTCAAAATCTTGATTGTAGATGGTCTTCTCACACTGTACTAACTCCTAACTAGAAAGAAGTTATGTAATCATGAAACAATTTTGAGGCCACGCCTGTCAACCTTTGTAGCTTTCTATTTCAGATGTTAGAGAAACTGGACAGTTCCTCTTTGCAAAACGTAATCTCAGTCACAAGGAGAAATGATAGCAAACAGTGCTTCTTTGCTTTTTTGACTTACAAATACTTGCTGAAAGGAGTTTCAAACTCAAAACTTTCTTATAAAGCTAACTTACGTATAGGTCATTAGAAACTGGTAGCCCCTTGAATGAGGATCTTAATGTCAAGTGGGAAAGGCGAAACACCAAGGTTTCTCCCTCCTTTCCCATTCACAGAGTGGCAGAAGCAGGATATCTTGGTAGAGATGTCTGTTGCTACCAGAACTTGACTTCATCTCTTGGTTAGGAGCGGGTCTACTATAAAATTGTTTTTGTTTAAATAGTACCTACATATTCATTTGGTTATTGATAACTGATACACCTGAAGCTTGAGAAAGGCAGAAAGTCACTATGAATATATAAACCCTTACTCAAATAATTTGAAAGAGTTTCATACTAGCTGCTCTCTTGAGTATAACTGAGCTGCCTTAACTTGATTATTAAATTCATCATCATTCATGCTTTCTACATTATTTATGGTAGTCAGTTTATATCATGATTGAAACCTTGAAAGTTCTGGAAGAGCACTGAACCTCTGGAATGATAGGGGGCCTGATAAACCCTTTGTACTGCAATGTTTTTTAATTTTTTTTTCTGTAAAGAACAGTGGGTGCACTACAAAGTAACATAAGTCTAATTGTCAAATGAATGGTACCAGTTAGTAGACAGTGCTGTGATTACCAACTAGCTGATCTGTAAGCAAAATGTGGTCATGACTGGAAAAGGATCCCCAAAACAGCTAATAGGGGAAAATGATCCAAGGCCATTTGAGGGAAGAATAAAGCTGATTGTCTTAATCCAAATCAGCAACATAGAGAGTTAAAGTTTGGATTTGGAAACTGTCTGAATAACCCCACTAAGGCAAGAGTAAATCAGAAAAAGCCAAGAGGATCTAGAATGACAGCCACTAACACATGTGGGTGTTTATTGTTTCAGTTTCTCACTTATGCTGATGCTTTGAGCAGATCTTAAGGCAAAGGGTAAAAAGAAACACAAGGAAAGCTCATTGGGAGCCCCGCTTCAGTGCTTGAGAACCAAAGGATCTCATGACAGGAGTTACCACGTTTCAGGACAGCTTTCTACCCTGATATGGTTTGGCTGTGTTCCCACCCAAATCCCATCTTGTAGCTCCCATAATTCCCACTTTTTGTGGGAGGGACCTGGTGAGAGATGACTGAATTACGAGGGCAGATCTTTCCCATGCTGTTCTCATGATAGTGAATGGGTCTCTTGAGATCTAATAGTTTTAAAAAATGGGAGTTGTCCTGCACAAGCTCTCTCTTTGCCTGCTGCCATCCACGTAAGATGTGACTTGCACCTTCTTGCCTTCCACCATGATTGTGAGGCCTCCCCAGCCATGTGGAACTGCAAGTCCAATAAGCCTCTTTCTTTTGTAAAATGCCCTGTCTTGAGTATGTCTTTATCAGCAGCATTAAAACAGACTAATGTAGTAAATTGGTACCAGGAATAGGGCACTGCTGAAAAGATACCTAAACGCATGGAAGCAACTTTGGAACTGGGTAACAGGTAGAAGTTGGAACAGTTTGGAAGTTTCAGAAGAAGACAAGAAAACGTGCGGAAGTTTGGAACTTCCTAGAGCCTTGTTGAGTGGCTTTTGACAAAAATGCTGATAGACATATAAACAATAAGATCCAGGCTGAGGTGGTCTCGGATGGAGATGGGAGACTTGTTGGGAACCGGAGCAAAGATTACTCTGTGACTCTTGCTATGTTTTAACAAAGAGATTGGCGGCATTTTGCCCCTCCCTTAGAGATTTTTGTCTTAGAGCTTGAGAGGGATGATTTAGGGTGTTTGATGGAAGGAATTTCAAAGCAGGAAAGCATTCAAGATGTGACTTTAAAAAAATTTGTCATAATAGAGGGGATATTTATCAATCTGATGAAGGACATCTACAAGAAACCTAAAGCTAACATCATACTAAATAGTGAGAAATCCCAAGCTTTCCTATCAAGATGAGGACCAAGACAAGGATGTTCCCTCTCACCACTCCATTTCAACATTGTACTGGAAGTTCCAGTAAATGCAATATGACAAGAAAAGGAAATAAAAGCTGTATAGATTGAGAAAAAAGAAATAAAACTGTCTTTTTTTCACAGATATCATCATTATCTGTGTAGAAAAACCAAAAGAATCAACAACAACAACAACAAGAGAAAAACTCCTGGAACTAATAAATGATTACAGCAAGACTGCAGGACACAAGGTTAATATATGAAATTTCATCCCTAAATGCTAGAAATGGACAAGTAGAATTTGAAATTAAAAACACAGTAGCATTTCTGTTAGCATAAAGAAAAATGAAGTAGGTACAAATCTAACAAAATATATTCAATATCTATGTAAGGAGAACTATAAAACTCTCATGAAAGAACCATAGAAGTACTAAATAAAAGTAGAGGTATTTTATGTTCATGAGAAGTGAGACTCAGTATTGATTGTCAAGATGTCAGTTCTTCCCAATTTGATTTATAGATTCGATGCAATCCCAATTAAATCATAGTAAGGTATTTTGTGCATATCAACATTTTTCCACATTTTTATTGTATATATTTAAAAAGTGCAACATCTTTCATATATTTATATATACTGAAATGATTATTATAGTGATGCAATTAACATATCCTTCTTCTCTCAAAGTTATCTTTTTCATTTTGTAGCATAAGCACCAACAATCTAATCTTTTTGCAAAAATCTTAAGTCCAGTACAATATTATTAACTGTAGTCCTTATGTTGTATTATGGATCTCTAGAATTATTCATACCACATATCTGGCACTCCATATAAAGTTTAGAATCAATCTGTTGATAGCACAAGTATATTAAATGGCATTCGACCTCATTAACTATTCATGAAATGCAAATTAAAACCTCACATCTGTATCAACTCACATCTGTTAGAATGGCTATCATCGAAGCGATAAGAGACAAGTGTTAGTGAGGATGTGGAGAAAAGGGAACCCCTGTACACTGTAGACAGAAATGTAGATTGTACAGCCACATTAGTATGAGGTCCCTAAAGAAATTAAAAATAAAACTCATGGAAGAAGTAATTAATAAAATTGAGCTTTATTAAATTAAAAATTTCTCCTGTAATCCCAACACTTTGTGAGGTCAGGGGTGTGTGGATCACTTGAGGTCACGAGTTCAAGACCAACCTGGCTAACATGGGGAAACCCCATCTCTACTAAAAATACAAAGTTTATCTGGGTGTGGTGACACCTGCCTGTAGTCTCAGCTACTCAGGAGGCTGAGGAAGGAGAATTGCTTGAACCCAGGAGGTGGAGGTTGCAGTGAGCTGAGATCATGCCACTGCACTCCAGCCTGGACAAAAGAGTGAGACTCCATCTAAAAAAAAAAAAAAAAAAAAAAAAAAAAAAAAAAAAAAAAAAAAAAACTACTCTGCAAAGACATTTTCAAGAGAAAAAAAAGACAAACCACAGATTGAAAGAAAATATTTGCAAAAGATGTATCTGATAAAAGACTGTAGTAGGTACAAATCTAACAAAATATATTCAGTATCTACGTAAGGAAAACTATAAAATTCTCATGAAAGAAACATAAAAATACCAAAATAAAAGGAGAGATATTTTATGTTCATAGGAAGTAAGAATCAATATTGATTGTCAAGATGTCAGTTCTTCCCAACTTGATTTATAGATTCACAGATATACAAAGAACTATTAAAACTCAACAATAAGAAAATACACAACCTGATTTTTAAAAATCAGGAAAAGATCTAAACATATACTTCATCAAAGAAGATATGTATATGACAAATAAGCATATGAAAAGATGCTCAACATCATATATTCACAGGGAATTGCAAATGAACAATAATGAGATACCACTACACATTTATTAGAATAGCTAAAATCCAAAATGCTGAGAATACCAAATGCTGGTGAGGATGTGGAGCAACAGAACTCTTATCAATCGCTGGTGGAACTGCAAAATGATGCAGCCACTTTGGAAGACAGTTTGACAATTTCTTAGAAAACTAAAAATACTCATACATTCCAGCACTTGTTCTCCTTGGTATTTACCTAAAGGAGTTGAAAGCTTATGTCCACACAAGAAGCCTTCAGACACGATTATAGTATCTTTACTCAACATTCAGAAGCAACCAAATGTCCTTCAGTAGGTGAGTGGATCAATAAATGGTGGAAGATCCAGACAATGGAATATTATTCAACCCTAGAAGAAATGCGACATTAAGACTTGAGAAGATATGGAGGAACCTTACATGTGTATAATTAAATGAAAAAAAACTAATCTGAAAAGGCTACCTACTGTATAATTCTAAAATGACAAATGTACAGAGAGAGTAAAATCAGTGGTTGCCATTTGGTTGTGAGAAGAAAAGGAGTAAATGGAGAACAGATCGCTTTTAGGGCAGTGAAGTATGATAGGATACTGGTGGGTACATGTCATTTTGCATTTGTCTAAATGCTTTGAATGTGCAATACCAAGAATGAGCCCTAATATAAATTGCAGAATGTGTCAATGTTGGACACATGTTCACTGATTGTAACAAACCTACCTCTCTGGTGGGGGATGTCGATGATGAGGGAGATAGTACATGCGTGGGGTGAGGGGCACATGGAAACTATGATTTCCATTTAATTTTGTTGTAAATCTAAAACTTCTCTAAAAAATAAAGTATATTAAACAAAAAAGAAGGTGTTATGGAATTTAAAGATAACAAAATTTCTTTGTCATAAAACATCCAGGAAGGGAGAGCTTGTAAGCAGCCCTGTCAGTGAGATCAAAAGTGATTGCCCTGCGATAGGATTTTAGTAGTCTGGCTACTGCTAAAAGTAGACAAGAACTTGTATAAATTGAACTTCTCTATGCCAGACTTTAATCACTGTTCTTTTTCATATCCCCTGACTCTTCCCAATAACTTCTCAAGGCTGGTATGCGTTAAGTTGAAACATTTTATATCTCTGGGTTTTCTTTCTAGGCCATGGCCAAAAGAGCACCATGGTCTGTTTGCCCTTTGTTGGAAGTGAAGTTTATATGCTCAAAGAGAACTGAGTCTAGGTCAGTTTCAGAAGTGACTTTGACCACTTTTAAGCAGTCTAATCAATAAGTAATTGCAGGACTTCGGAAGGGGCACTCTTATTCCACACAAATAAAAACTGTTTGGGATTTTGGCCCTTTGTTGAACTTCTGAACAGAATGATACACTTATGGATTCAGGAGTCCTTGTGTTCTATTAGGTTTGATATGTGTAACTATGATGCAAACAATAATGGGAATCAACGAATTTTTTAAGTACCTACTACATGCCAACTTAAATTATCTTTCTTAATTCTTTCAGCAACCTTCCAATTAAGTATTATTTTCAGTTTTGCAAATGAGGCAAAAAGGGTTAGGTAAATTGCACTACAATTTACAACGATGATTTATGGAATTAGAATTAAAACTCAGTTTTCTGACTGTATGTTCTATTATAACCAACATTGAAAATTGCGTTTGTGGTCTTATCTTTTAGTAGTGTCTGAGAGTGAGTCATGAGAAACAGCACTATGTGGATGGGTTTGCAGCCAACCAGAGATGTGCAGACAGGCCGATGAGCTGACTGCTTTTTTTTTTTTTTTTTTTTAAATGGAAATGACAGTTTAAAAAATGCTCTCAAAGAACAAACAAGTATGGTCACATCTTTTTTTTATATTGAACTCCCATGGTATACATTCCTCTTTTTGTGTGTTGGATTGCTTTGATGTATTTTAAAGGAGTCAAGCAATTAACTTGATCTGCTTTCTCTTGATGCTTTTACCCTGGTTTCAAAATGAAAAACACCGTTTATCATAGTTCAAAAAAAACTTTAAAATGTATGAAGCTCAAGGAATGTGTGTGACCCACTTTGTGCAAGAGTTAGTAGCAAAGCCTAGATTAAAAGCCAGGTCTCCTGACTCCTAATCTATATCTCCACAGTGACTCCTATGAATGTAGGAAACATCTCCCTTCTGTGTGGTTCAGGCAAAGTCTCCTAATCAGGCTTGGGACAGGGACTCCTAGTTGGACTGTATTCTAGACCTGTTTCTTTTGACATCCTGATCTACATTCCCATGTTCCCAATTAGCATTAATTGAGGGAGAAAGAGGAGAAAACTGAAGCCTCCCCAAAGCTCCCTCTTCCACAACTCATGGAGGGGGTGGTCTCTGTAGAGAAAATGTTGATAATTACAGAAGTTGAGGCTGTGAATCATTCCATGGCACCAGCTCCCTCCTGGGAACTATTTCCTTGCGTCTCTCCCTGGCTTCCCCAGCTCAATTAAGCAGCTCGTTTGCTTTCTCATTAGCAAAACTTGTTAGCACTTTGGTCTATTCCCCTGAGTTGCATAGGAAAAAAGTTTTTTGGGAGGATTTGCTTCACTGGATAGGTCTGGCTCTCATGTTCTCTATGAGATACTGAGGTACCCAGGTCCCCCAAACAGGCCATGTGTAACAGTGGCAGGTCAGCAGTGGGTCCAAGGCTCCACTTGTGTGGCCTAAGGGAAGAGGAAGCAAAAAATCTAGACTGGCTAAGGATAGGGAAGTTCAATGCAACTGCCTCAGATCTAGCTGATGAGGAAATATTTAAGACCTGCTTTGCACACATTGCTCAAAGATTCCCAGGTGCATTGCATATTGTTGGGCCTCTGAGCAGAGGTACCTGTACCTTCTTCTCTCTCCTCTCAATGCGCAGAACTTCTACAGACCCTACACATTGCTACAGCTTTTCAGAGCTCATCAAGAACTTTCATATCTCAGTAGTGCCTCCCCACTCAGGCAAGCACCTGCTTCCTGAGCATGAGCTTACTCTGTTCCTGGCTCACCCAGAACAGAGACTGACTACATTAGTAGGGAGATTTATAGCCCACATATTTCAGGTGAAGTGGAATCTTGGCTTCATGCAGAAGCTGAATGAGAACCTCCATATACTCAAGCACCTGGATTTTTTTTTCACTCAAGGAGAGAGTCTTCCAATCTTGAGGTTAAAATATTTTCTTCAGTAAAACGCTCCAAACAAAATATCATCTTTTCCTGCTGTTTAAATAATTCCAGCTCTCTCAGGAAATTTTTCAAGTTGATATGAGGAGACTCAATGGTTTCCTCTATATTGATGTGATCTATGTGAAAATGCTTTACGGTGAATGATATCCAATTTAATTTTGCTATTATCTTGCGTGGGTTTTTTTTTCCCTCTGATTCCTAAATATCAAACTACATTTGTATCTACAAGTGATGCAAATGTATTCTCCAATGGATCAGTGCTTCAATCTGTTATTTATACAGCCTCTACATCCATCCAGTACATGCTTAGGGATTGTGTTCAGTTGAGGTCAGAGTCCATGTACTGATCATACAGCTTTTATGAAGATGATGCTGATAGTGATGAAAATGAAAGTGATGATGAAAACATAAATAAACATGTAAATGCCACGTATAACAACAATGTGGTGGTTGTATACACAATGATAGCAATACTGGTTGTGGTGGTTTAGAGCACTACTTGGCACATAGTGAGTATTTGACAATGATTAAATCTGAATAAATGATAGGGGAGATGGTGAGGGTAGTGGTGATGGTGATTGTTGTGGAGACAGAGATAGTCAAAGCAGAAGTGATGGCATTGCGGATCTTTCTCACACTCTGGTAAGGTTAATAATGGAAAAACGCTTTTGCAGGGATATGGACCGAGCTGGAGGGCATTATCCTCAGCAAATTAATACAGGAACAGAAAACCAAATACTGCATGCTTTCACTTATAAGTGGGAGCGAAATGTTGAGAACACATGGATACACAGAGGGGAACAGCATGCACTGGAGCCTATTGGAGGGTGGAGAGTGGGAAGAGGGAGAGGATCAGAAAAAAACAACTGGAGCCTGGCACAGTGGCTCACGCCTGTAATCCCAGCACTTTGGGAGGCTGAGGCGGATGGATCACCTGATCAGGAGTTCATGACCAGCCTGACCAACATGGTAAAACCTCATCTCTACTAAAAACACAAAAATTGGTTGGGCATGGTGGTGGGTGCCTATAATCTCAGCTGCTTGGGAGGATGAGGCAGGAGAATCACTTGAATCTACTAAAAACACAAAAATTAGTTGGGCATGGTGGTGGGCACCTGTAGTCTCAGCTGCTTGGGAGGCTGAGGCAGGAGAATCGCTTGAACTTGGGAGGCAGAGGTTGCAGTGAGCCGAGATCGTGCCATTGCACTCCAGCCTGGGCAACAAAGAGCAAAACTCCATCTCAATTAAAAATAAATGAAAGAAAAAAGAAAAGAAAGAAAGAAGGTTAAAAAAAAGAAAAATAAGTAATAGGTATTAGGCTTAATACCTGGGTGATAAAATAATCTGTACAACGAACCCCCATGACACAAGTTTACCTATGTAACAAACCTGCACATGGACTGCACGTGTATTAAAATGAAAGTATTATACATAGTTAAAAAATGGACAAACAGATTATTTCCTCCTCTCTGGTCATTTGGCCGATCTTATTAGAATGGAGCGGATATGCAGCTGATTGAGAGTCTTTTTGCAAAGTAATTTATAAGAAAGGTTAAACTCATTTTTGGAGTGATCACGGTGTTGTTCTCCATGTAGGCACAAGGATATATGAGTTGGATTTGTCTCTTTTTATTAAAGTCTATGCAGGACTTGCAAAACTTCTAGTGGCCCAGAGGAGGCAATGCCTCTGGGATTGGATTCTAAAGTCCACAGTGAGGTTTGCGGAATTGAGAAAAGTCATTTGAGAAATAGAGCTGCCCTGCTGCACTTCCTTTTGCACAACTTCTTGCCCCAGAGAAGTCCTCACGGAAAGCTTTACACCCTTAGCAACTCCAGGGAACATACAGCCAGGAGCCCCTGGAGGCCCGCATTTCCAGGAATATGAAATATAAGTAGGGGAGTGTCTCGGGGTAGAAAGGATGGCGAGGAGAATGCTGTAAGTTCTAATGTTGTCAAAATCATCAGGTAATGGGCAGGAGTGGTGCGGAAAAGATGAGAGTAGTCAAAGAAGACAACTGGATGAAGGCTTTGAACCGTGTTTGAATGAGGCTTGAATGAGGCTTATTAGGGTGTGGGAGGAAAACTCAAGTGACATTGGTGTTGATCCCCCTCAAAACCCATAATCATTTTCCAATAACTTTAGAGAAACATATGTTATCTGTGTCGTAAGAGTCTTAGGAAACAAACTCAGGCTTTTTTTTTTTTTTTTTTTTTTTTATTTGAGAAGAGGAAGCTGAGGTTAAGTTAAAAGTTGCTCAACCTAATGTCCATTGCCCCTGAGTGGTAACCAAATCCCTGACTTCAGAAGAGGCTCGGCGGGGCGCGGTGGCTCACCCCTATAATTCCAGCACTTTGAGAGTCCAAGGCGGGCGGATCATGAGGTCAAGAGATCAAGACCATCCTGGCCAACATGGTGAAACCCCATCTCTACTAAAAATACAAAAATTAGCTGGGCATGGTGGCATGTGCCTGTGGTCCCAGCTACTCGGGAGGCTGAGGCGGAAGAATCGCTTGAACCCAGGAGGGGGAGGTTGCAGTGAGCCGAGATTGTACCACTGCACTCTAGCCTGGAGACAAAGCAAGACTCTGTCTCAAGAAAAAAAAAAAAAAAAAAGAAAAGAAAAGGCTCTCCCTGTTATACCAGACTGCTGGCTTCTTGGCTTCTTCTTGACTTCATGGTTTTTCCTTTTTGAGAATTCCTAGCACATATCCTTTGGGGATCATGTTTTCACCCAGCACAGTGTATATACTGGGTGAATTATCATCAGGCACTATGGGCCTAGGATTTTACAGTTTTCAAAGCTTCTGCATTTCTTTCATTTTCCATTTTTTCTTCTTCTAGTCCTTACCAGGATAGTCTAAGCACTTCGGAGGGGCTTCCTGAAAGAAGCTTCAACATTCACTTTTGAGAGATGACTTCCTCTCCCTTCTCCACAGCCCAATACTGTTGGCCATTTTATCATTGGAAACTACAGAGGGATAGCAAGAGGAATTTTCTGGCTCTCTTATTATTTGATGGTGGAGTAGGGGAGGAAATCACTGAGTCACTGGAGCACAGTGTTATAACTTAGAAAGGGTTTAAACTGGGACTAAGAGCCTTGGTTTCTAGTCCCAGCCCTGTTACAGACTAGGATATGGGGACAACCATATCTGCTTTTGGGGTTTCAGTTCCTCTAGTGTAAAGTGAGGAACACTGATTAGATACTGTCTCAAGTTCCTTTCAAGTGCTCAGATTTTCTGAATAGAGAAGAAGCTCGAAGTAACTTATATTCTATCTTTACCCCTTGTTCCTAGGAATTATGGATCACATCAATCATACCTGGATCCAGAGCTTTATCCTTACTGGTTTCACTACCACTGGGACCCTACAACCTCTTGCCTTCTTGGGGACCCTGTGCATCTATCTCCTCACTCTTGCAGGGAACATTCTCATCATTGTCCTGGTACAGTTAGATTCTGGGTTGTCCACGCCCATGTACTTCTTTATCAGTGTCCTCTCTTTTGTAGAGATGTGGTATGTCAGCACCACAGTGCCCACGCTGCTGCATACCTTGCTCCGTGGGTGTTCACCCATCTTACCAGCTGTATGCTTTATTCAGCTGTATGTCTTTCATTCCTTAGGCATGACTGAGTGCCACCTGTTGGGTGTCATGGCACTGGATCGCTACCTTGCCATCTGCCACCCACTCCACTACCATGGACTCATGAGCAGACAGGTACAGTTACGACTAGCTGGAGCCACTTGGGTGGCTGGCTTCTCGGCTGCACTTGTGCCAGCCACCCTCACTGCCACTCTACCCTTCTGCTTGAAAGAGGTGGCCCATTACTTTTGTGACTTGGCACCACTAATGCGGCTGGCATGTGTGGACACAAGCTGGCATGCTAGAGCCCATGGCGCAGTGATTGGTGTGGCCACTGGTTGCAACTTTGTGGTCATTTTGGGGCTCTATGGAGGTATCCTGAATGCTGTGCTGAAGCTACCCTCAGCTGCCAGTCGTGCCAAGGCCTTCTCTACTTGTTCCTCCCACGTGACTGTGGTGGCACTATTCTATGCTTCTGCCTTCACAGTATATGTGGGCTCACCTGGAAGTCGACCTGAGGGCACAGACGAGCTTATTGCCTTGGTGTATGCCCTTGTTACCCCTTTCCTCAATCCTATCATCTATAGCCTTCGCAACAAGGAGGTAAAGGAGGCTTTTAGAAGGGTCATTGACAGGATTAGAACATTTTAAAGGAACCTCAATGATCTAATTTGTCATAGCCCAGCTTGTTGGTAATTGTGAGAATCAGCTGGATGGTTTGTGAATCATGTGTTCAGAGTCAAAGAAAACACCAGTACAGAAATCAAATAGATCTGTAGTCAAGTGTGCTGCACACACCGTGCCTGAATTGGTCAAAGTTGGAAGATGTAAAGAGAAGGGGGTTATGGCCTCTGATTATCCCATACTAATGGGAAAGAAGTGCCACAAAGGGAGAAAAAACGGGGATGTAAAACAAGTGGTTCAACTGTATTTATGACTTAGAGAGACAGTGCAATACTGAAAGAAAGAAAGAAGACAAACTAAAGCTAGGAGTGGCAGGTTGAGTCAAGATAAAATTCCTAGAGAAAGGTAAGAAGGTGGAAAACTAGGTTGTCAAAAAGAAGTCTAAAATTTTAGCTTGTATAAAGTTGCAGATGTGGATCACTGAGCCATGAGCAGAATGCTTATCAGTTTGTGGCATCCAGGGACTCTGGATTATTATGTGACCAAAGGTAACTTGATGGAGAAAAAAACTGAAGTCCTGATCACAATTCTTTTCTCTTTCCAGCTCCTCTATTGCTTCCTCTGCTGAGCAGAGTAATCCCCCATTCCTTAATGGTGTGTGAACTGGGGAACATGTACCTGCTAGAGTATGGCATACAAATTAGTGAGAAAAATAGGACCAGACCTTGGCAGAGACTAAGTATTGGCTAATCTTGAATACTTTTTCGTTTTCTTCATTCTTACAGATCTTATTGCTTTATTTTCTGTATGTTTATACTATGCCAGAAATAGTGACAGTTGCCTTCATTTTTCAAAAATTTAATCTTTATAATATCCCTCTGAAGAAGGAAAAACATCCCAATATTTACATAACAAAATTAGGAAGATTACTGAATTTTCAGTAAAGAGAGACAAATTTAACCCTAAATCAACTTCAGCTGACCAAGTGACCCTCCTCAGCCTCTTTCTCTCTGTCTGTAAAATGAAAGGCTGGCAGTAGATGAGTACTCACATTTCTCTCAGCTTAGGGAGTTTCAATTCTATGCTTATAGCACTTCTTAAGGAAAGCAGGACCTGAACTAGGTCCAGATGCACAAGATCTGAATTTCCAGAGCGGAGATGGAAAGGTGTTGCTACAAATTCAGGTGTTGCCATTTTTGCCTCTGTGATTCTGGGCAGAAAACATAAGCTCTCTCTGATGCCAGATTTGTTTTCCCTTAAAAAAATCGACATCAAAGTGTTCCAAAGTTAAATAACACATAGTAAGTATTTCATAAACAAGTTAGTCTCAGCATCCCAGAATCAGGACAGGGTTATAGCGTGGACTTTGAAACCTATCTGCCTGTGTTCACACATCAATTCCACCATTACTTGCTGTGTGATCATGTGAGGTACACTACCTCTACCTCAGTTTCCTTACATGCAAAATGGGGAAATAATATTAAGCATATAAATATTAATCATTATTACTTCAAAATTTTCCACATAAATGTCTTCAGTGGGGATGTATTTCTTTGATAATGCTTAGTTTTACACAGGCATCTTCTTTTGACCTAAGGGTCCAAATTTACCTTTCTGTAAACTGAGGAGTAGTCCCTGCTTTCAAGAAGTCTACGCTGTTTCTCCAAATACAAGGTGCAAAACTCTGTTCTGCTGACAGGCTGAGTCTACTGCTTTTATGCTCCTTTTCTCTCCTTCTGTACCTCACTTCACTCAGATTACTCTTTTGCAGGAACTATTTTGGGCTCAACAGAAACTCTTCTTTCCCTGAGGTGGCAGCACTAGAGGATGCCTCAAATTGAAATGGCTTAGATCACATTAATTAAGAGGTCATCGTAATAATAATAATTACTAAAACCATTATAACAATTATTATTATTTTTTCCCCATTTATTTTATTGCATTTTAGGTTTTGGGGTACATGTGAAGAACATGCAAAATTGTTGCATAGGTACACACATGGCAGTGTGATTTGCTGCCTTCCTCCCCATCACCTACATCTGGCATCTCTCCTCTTGCTATCTCTCCCAGCTCCCCACCCCCCACCGTCCCTCCCCTATTTCCCCCCAACTGACCCCAGTGTGTAGTGCTCCCCTCCCTGTGTCCATGTGTTCTCATTGTTCAACACCCGCCTATGAGTGAGAACATGCGGTGTTTGATCTTCTGCTCTTCTGTCAGTTTGCTGAGAATGATGGTTTCCAGGTTCATCCATGTCCCTACAAAGGACCCAAACTCATCGTTTTTGATGGCTGCATAATATTCCATGGTGTATATGTGCCACGTTTTCCCTATCCAGTCAAACCAGACAAAAACAATTATTATTAATTGCTAATATCTGTGGGGTGCATACCATGCAGAGAACATGAAGGACTTACTGTAGTGAAGACATAAGTAGTCATCTAACAACTCGAAGTGGCATATATCTATTAATTTATACTGTAGTGCTTGATATCCACTCATATTTGGACAAAAGAATAAATGAATAAGCAAACTCTTAAGAGTCAAATGGGTGTGACAGAGACTGAGTGCCCTGCTGAAACTCCACAAGAAGTTTTTTTTTTTTTTTTTTTTTTTTTTTTCAGATCCATTTACAGCTGCAAACTCCCCTTGCCTTTCACTGTGCACTTTTTTTTTCTCTTGAGACCTCCTTAGGCATTTCCTTTAGAATATAAAGCTCAGGTCATCTTTAGCACAGAGCTTCTCAACAGATACAAATAACAAACGTGCTGAGTTACCCTGCCCCTAACACACACCCTATGAGTGGTCAGATAGGGCCAATGGGAATGGAAGTCCTTGGACTCCTTTCCTCCAGCAGAAAGTGGCCTTTCTGTTCCCCTCAGTGTGGCCTACAGATACCGTCCCTTTTATAAGTGCTATGATATGAAAATAAAAGTTTGAGAAGTAATGCCTTAGTGTGACGTATTGGGGTAAGTGCCCGGGATAAAGTCCAACTTTTGATTACTTGTCCTATGGCGACAATTGGATATTGACTCTAGCAAGATAGGCAATACACAGTCAGATTTAACAGGCAGCAGAATCAGACCATTTACTCGATACTAGCATCAAGGCTAACATTCTAGCTCATAGGACATTTAAATTCAAGTACGTCAGAGAACAAACTGAAATGCTATTAATGTACCCCGGGACGTCAGATATGAACAACATTTGTGAGCAAACAAGGACATGTGACCTTGGGATCTATCACTTCATTTACATATTTTGTTTTAAAAGTTTATTTGCTTCAATAAATAATACCTCTAAAGGGTTCAAAAATTCGTTGTGTGTGTGAAGTTAAAATTTTTTCTTATGTTAAAAAAAAATTTAGAAAAAATAATCAGGTGATTTGAGGACCTGTCTCCTCCCACTCTATGTAATAAATATCTAAAGGGAAGCAACAGCGTTATATGCATCATTTTCTACAGTTCTTAGAATAAAGTCTGGGGCATAAAAGATGTTTCAAATGTGTATTAAATAAATAGATAAGCAAATTATTGTGAATTCCCCTATTTCTCACATTACATTAGTTGCATATCATATCATTTTTTCCTAACATTTAGAGCATGTTTTTTAAAAAAAATGTATTACATAGCACATTAAATGTTTAGTTAAATAGTTACTTCAAAAAGTATTCCTCTATTCATTTCTAAATTCCAATAAACATATGTTGTTTTTCCAAGTAGTAGCAATGATATGAATTTTTGAACATGTTGAATATGACTTTTTTCACTTAAATTTTTAACAATTTTAGATCTCATCTTTCTCCTCAAATAATGAATCACTTGATGAAGGTATCAGTGTAACCACAGAACCAGTTCAATCTGGTTTAACCTTGTCAGTAACAAAATACAACAAAATGGTGACTTGTTTTTTACTTGCGATAGACCCTCAGGTTGTAATTAACCCAAGCGTGCCCAGATGAACTAAGTGTACCAGATTTGTGACCTTGGAGCCAACCAGAACAAAAAAGTAAACAACATGTGGAACCTAAGTATTTAGACCAAAGAATGGTGACCAAATTAAAAAGGAAGGGATGAACTGTTTTGCTGCAGCACAGTCATAAAAATCAAGGATCCAGCATAACCTCTTCTCAGGAACCAATCAGATAATGCTTTGTTCCATTTTCCTATCTCCCTCTTAGTGGCTCTCTGCCTGTAAAACTTGTGCCCAGACCTCAGTTCAGGGAGACAGATTTGAACATTGCCTCCTGCCTCCTTGCTGATCAACCTTGAAATAAGGCCTTTTCTTTCTTAAGAGCTGGTGTCATGGTATTGGCTTCTAAGCCCATGTGGCAGTGAACCATTGCACAATAATACCAGAACTTGTCATTTTTCACACTCTATTTCTGATACAGAATAAATGCCAAGTAAGCACTCTTTATTGACAAGTGGTGACATAAAAGAGAAGAAACAATGCTCTTGGCTAGGCAAGAACTAAACTTGGAAGCCTCAGTCATTTAGCACTCATAGCCGCACTAACTGATTCTAGATAATGTTTATAATTTTTACATATATATATATATATATATATTACTGCATTTTAGGTTTTGGGGTACATGTGGAGAACATGCAACATTGTTGCATAGGTACATACATGGCAATGTGGTTTGCTGCCTTCCTCCCCATCACCTATATCTGGCATTTCTCCCCACGTTATCCCTCCCCTACTCCCCATCCCCCTGCTGTCCCTCCCCTAGATTCCCCCCACAGACCTCAGTGTGTGATGCTCCCCTCCCTGTGTCCATGTGTTCTCATTGTCCAACACCCACCTATGAGTGAGAACATGCAGTGTTTGATTTTCTGTTCTTGTGTCAGTTTGCTGAGAATGATGGTTTCCAGGTTCATCCATGTCCCAACAAAGGACACAAACTCATCGTTTTTGATGGCTACATAGTATAGCATGGTGTATATGTGCCACATTTTCCCTGTCCAGTCTATCATCGATGGGCATTTGGGTTGGTTCCAAGTCTTTGCTATTGTAAACAGTGCTGCAATAAACATTTGTGTGCATGTGTCCCTATAATAGAACGATTTATAATCCTTTGCTATTGTAAACTGTGCCATGATGAACATACGTGTGCATGTGTCTTTATAATAGAATGACTTACAATCCTTTGGGTATATACCCAGAAATGGGATGGCTGGGTCTAATGGAATTTCTATTTCTAGGTCCTTGAGGAAGCACCACACTGTCTTTCACAATGGTTGAAATAATTTACACTCCCACCAACAGTGTAAAAGCATTCCTGTTTCTCCACATTCTCTCCAGCATCTGTTTTCTCCAGATTTTTTAATGATTGCCATTCTAACCGGTGTGAGATGGTATCTCAATGTGGTTTTGATTTGCATTTCTCTAATGATCAGTGATTGATGAGCATTTTTTCATATATTTCTTAGCCTCAAATATGTCTTCTTTTGAAAAGTGTCTGTTCATATCCTTTGCCCACTTTTGAATGGGTTTGTTTCTTTCTTGTAAATCTGTTTTAGTTCTTTGTAGATTCTGGATATTGGCCCTTTGTCAATGGGTAGATGGCAAAAATTTTTTCCCATTCTGTTGGTTGCCAGTTCACTCTAATGATTGTTTCTTTTGCTGTGCAGAAGCTCTGGAGTTTAATTAGGTCCCATTTGTCTATTTTGGCTTTTGTTTCCAATGCTTTTGGTGTTTTAGTCATGAAATCCTTGGCTATGCCTATGTCCTAAATGGTATTGCCTAGGTTTTCTTCTAGGGTTTTTATGGTGTTAGGTCTTATATTTAAATCTTTAATCCATCTGGAGTTAATTTTAGTGTAAGGTGTAAGGAAGTCCAGTTTCTGTTTTCCGCACATGGCTAGCCAGTTTTCTCAACATCATTTATTAAACAGGGAATCCTTCCCCAATGCTTGTTTTTGTCAGGTTTGTCAAAGATCAGATGGTTGTAGATGTGTGGCGTTGCCTGTGAGCCTCTGTTCTGTTCCATTGGTCTCTATCTCTATTATGGTATCAGTACCATGCTGTTTTGATTACTGTAGCCTTGTAGTACAGTTTGAAGTCAGGCAGCATGATGCCTCCAGCTTTGTTCTTTTTGCTTAGGATTGTCTTTCCTATGTGGGCTCTCTTTTGGTTCCATATGAAGTTTAAGGTAGTTTTTTTTCCAGTTCTGTGAAGAACGTCATTAGTAGCTTGATGGGGATAGCGTTGAATCTATAAATTACTTTGGGCATTATGGCCATTTTCACAATACTGATTCTTCCTAAACATGAGCATGGAATGTTTTTCCATCCTGTTTGTGTCCTCTCTTATTTCATTGAGCAGTGGTTTGTAGTTGTCCTTGAAGAGGTCCTTTACATTCTTTGTTAGTTGTATTCCTAGGTATTTTATTCTCTTTGTAGCAATTGTGAATGGCAGTTCGTTCTTGATTTGGCTCTCTTTAAGTCTGTTATTGGTGTATAGGAATGCTTGTGATT